GGGGGGGGGAAGGGGGGGAGAGGAGTGCGGTCAGGTGGTTAGAGCAGGGGGGCTGGGAGCCAGGACTCCTGGGTTCTGGGAAGGGAAGTGCATGGAGTGTACCATGTTGCACTTAACACATCCCCCAGCAGGGGGTGCTGCAGCTTTTGCTTTGGCGAGCGGAATTTGGAGCGGATTGTTTTAGAAGAGGCTGCGGGGAGGGGGCGGGCGGGGGCTCGGGGGCTGCGCGTGGCTTGTTGATTGTCCTTTGCAAACTGAGGCACGAGGCGGTTGCCTTGCTGGTGTGGAGGGGGAGGGTCCTGCCCTGGGGACCCTGGCTGGCTGCGTTCAGGGGCTCTGCAGGGGGCTGGCAGGTTGATCTATGTTGTAAATTTCAGGCTCTGGGCTCCATCGAGGGGTCGGTTTGTACCGTGATCGAAGGGCCCTTCCAAGGGGATTAAAGTGTCGAAGCCAAAGGCTGTCCAGCAGAAGCGCCGGTGGGCGGGGAGGGGGCTGGGGGTTGTCTGCAGCCGGGGAGCATGAGGCGGGTTTGGACCAACCATAGAAGGGCCATGTGATATTCTCCCGGGCCCCGATTCTGCAGTGCTGTGCTCCCCTCCCCAGCCCGGGGCTCCCCTCCCCCCACAGCTCTGCTGATGCCCAGTCCTGGGAGGGGGGCGGGTCCGTGGAGAGGGTGGGTCAGGGTGGAGGAGCTGGGCTGAAGCTCTGAGCTGGCCTCACCCCGGCCCCTAAGTGCAGGGGGGTGGGTCCCGGGCCCCGTTCACCTCTCCCCCCGGCCGATGGGCAGTGACTCCGTTGGCGTCAAGTGACCCGAACCCTGGGGTTCAGGGCTCTGAGTTTCGGGGGGTTGTTTGGGGATCCCCCCGTCATGCCCGTTTGTTACCCTGGGCGATGCTGATGGACGCTCTCGCCCGTACCCCGCCCCCATCTCCATAATTTTCTTCACAGCCTAACAAAGGCCAAAAGGGGAAACTGAGGCAAGGCCGGTGGCGGAGCGGTCAACAGGCGCCCCGCAACGCGGTGGCATGGAGCAGAGAGGGGCAGCTGTGGGCCTAGCCCAGGCCCGGCTCGACAAAGATGCATTCCCTTTATTGGGGCCATGCCCAGGTACAGTCCGGGATCCGTGGTGCCCAGCCTGGCTTGCTGGGGCCCGAGGGCGTGGGATGCACCGCCAGCTTTGAGTCCTTTGGCGGTGCCAGGCAATGCGGGCGCTCTGGGATCCAGAGGGGGCGGGCGAGCGGCGAGTCCGGCCGGCTCATGCCTTGGAGTCGCGCTGCAGGTGCAGGGAGTCCATCCCTTCCAGGAGCAGGGTGAGCGAAGCCTGGCCGTGCCCCCCCTCCTCCGCCTTGCCCCGGCGCCCCTCGGCCTCGCCCGTCAGCAGCCGCCCGTTCTCCGCCTCCAGCTGGGCGTTGCGGCAGTGGAGCCCGAGGTTCTCCAGCAGCAGCTGGTTCCGCTCCTGCAGTGGGGGGGAGCAGAGCCCCAGGGGGGTGGGTTGGGGGGTGAGAGCAGGGACCCTGCAGAGCTGTGCAAGGGAAGCCCCCAGCCAACTCCACCCGTGGGTGGCCCAATTTGCATGCCCAGCCACTGGGGGGGGGCAGGGGTGGTCTCCAACCCTCCTCCACCCCACATCGTACCCCTGTTTTGGGATCTCACCTTCTCCAGCTCCTGCAACTGCTCCAGGAGCTTCTGGTCCCCGCTGCAGCCGTGGGGCTTGTGGCCCTCCGCCGTGGGGCTGGTGCCGTCCGTCTGCGTCCAGGCGTCCCGGGTCCGCCGCCGGCTGGCTGGTACCCCCGCTAGCACCACGGCCCGCTCCTCTGCCTGCTCACCCACCGGGGGAAAGGGGAAGGCCTCTTCCTCCGACCCTGCCATGGGGAGAGGGGGCCCTTTAAAGGGGGCTGGCCACGAGCTGTGCCACTGCCTGGGGTGGGGGGGAGATGTGGACAGCAATGGGGCGTTCCACTGACCCTGTCACAGGGGAGAACAGGTGGAGCAGGGTCCCTTTAAATGGGGCTGGCCACGGACTGTGCCACTGTCTGGGGTGGGGGAGATGTGGACAGCAATGGGGTGTTCCACTGACCCTGCCACGGGGGAGAACAGGTGGAGAGGGGGCCCTTTAAATGGCCATGGACTGTGCCACTGTCTGGAAGTGGGGGGGGGGGACAGTACAGAGTGTTTCACTGAACCAGTAAAAGGGGGTGGGGGGGTGTTAGCATGCTTGTGGCCATTTAAAACGGATCATGCCACGGGCCAGTCCACTGCCTTGGGGGGAAGAGGGGAGGCCCACGGCTTGTTCCACTGTCCTGGTGAGGGCAGGGGGGATGGACTGTTCCATTGTTGGAGGAAGGGGAGGGGGTAGCATGAAGATCCCGCGCCCTCCCTGCGGTACCTGAGCTGGGGTGCTGCGTGGCGGCCGGGGTGGCTGCACGGGGCGTGCCCCCCTCTGGGGCTCTGGCGTGGAACCTCTTCTTGCACTCCAGCTCCACCAGGTCCTTGCACTGCTTGTGGCAGCTCATGCCACAGTCTGGTGGTGGGGGGGGGGGGAAGATGACACATGATGTAAGCTGGGGGGCTTGGCATTACTCCCCGCTTCTAGGGGGACCCCAGCCCTCCCACCCCCTGCAGTGCCAGGAGAATCCCTCTCCGTGGTGAGCAGTGCAGGGCTCAGGACACACAGCTGTGCAGTTCTATCTCCAGCCAGCAGGGGGCAGCACTCAGTAGGCGGACAGGCACGCACGCCCCGCCACGGGAGTTGCTTAGTCCCATGGGCCCTTTGCCCCTCCCTAGCCTTATCACCAACGTTCTTCCCACATATGTTGCCCCATCAGGGCTGCACTTACCCCGACATCTGTACCCCTGCTTGGAGACACCCCAGAGCTAGAGGAGAGAGAGCGGAGCCTGTTAGCTGTGGCCTTTTGGAGGGTTGGGGGGGTTGCATTGTCCCTGTAGAGGGGGGAGGGGATTTTGCAATGGGGGGGATTGCTGGGGCTGGACCCCCACACACATTGGCAGTGTCCTTAAATATAGGGGATGACTAGGGGGAGTTGGGTAGGGGGGTTAACCTCCCCCACTGCTGCCCCCTGGGAGAGTGATGTGGGGCAGGATTCTTGGGGGGAGGGAGTCTGTAGAGCAGCTGATCTTTGGTGCACCCCCTTTCCTGGCCCCCGGGGGGGGCACTGGGGGGCAGGGTCTTTGGCCCAGCTGGGGTTTAAGGTCCCACCCACCCTTTCCTGGCCGCCAGGGGCACTGTGGGGCAGGGTCTCTGGCAGGCCTGGGATTTGGGGCACCCCTGTCC